CAAGTATAAATATACAAAATGTACAGCCTTAAAATTTTATGAAAGCTTCTTTACAACTTCTTTCCAGAAATGTGCAGAATACCCTTGTTGGTGAGATTGCTCTTCAAACTCTGAACATCGACTCCTACTGGTAGCTTATAACATCTGCAAACAAGATTGCTTTATTTTCTTACTGGTTATAATTCTAGCAAATTTTTATATATGACCAAGATCGGAGCCTCCAAGAAAAACTAAAGGCATCAAATGTGCTTCTTTATCACTTCATGTTACCAAAACATTCACAGTAATCAATTACTTACCTCAATATAGTTCTACTTATATTCGTAGTACCGTTATCAAGGCCATCATGTTCCATCTGAATCTGCAGCAGATCGCCCATCGTTTTTACCTAAAGTACCAGCGATAAACAGAGAATTTGAGAAGCATTGTGTCCGAGAGTAACCTTGATTTCTTTTGGTGAAAAATACTTTGCATCCAAATCGACTTCAAAATGCGTTGAGTCTTCTACGACATTGACAAATTCGTCGTTTGCTTGAAGCGGCCAATCCCACAGCTTGTCGTGCTCAACAGCAATGCTCATACTAAAATTAAGCGAAGGAATTGAGTAGAGCAGCCAAGGAGAACCACGGACCGCACACCTGATCTATGCAGAATGAACTTATGCTATTTAGCACTTCCTCGCCACTTTTATATCCTGTGAGGACGTTCTCTGTGCAGATAAACAACTTGGTCATGATGAGCATGCCACCAGAAAAATGTTTTGCTGGCGACAGCTATGACTTTTTACACCACTTGCTTGCTCGCTCATGTGACGTTGGAATTTTCACAGGATTTGTGAAAATTGTGAATTCAAGCAACTGCAATCGGATCTGAAGAAGGTAAGGTCAACTACTTGAAAAGTAAGAAGTATGATACATTGTACTTGTATGAGTATGCTTGCACGAATAGGCTACAAGCATAAACAAACAGTGACAAATGAGATAGCATTCACTGATTTTAGAAGATAGGTAAGCAACGAAAAAAAA